GTGTGTGTGTGTGTGTGTGTGTGTGTGTGTGTGTGAGAGATTTAAAAATAACTAGCCAAAGAAAGTATAAAATAACAAACATGCTAAAAATGGAATAAAACAGAAGAAACTGTTTGGAGAAGAAATGAAATACAAATATTCAAGTGAAGTAGGTACCACCTCACAATTGTTACTTTTCATTTGCTGGTAAGTAAGAAAGTGGTGGAAAATGAGCGCATTTATGTACTTTATTTAAATATTTCTATTTTATGATACTTTACAGACGTACTACTACTACACCACTAAACTTCACAGGAAAATACTAAACTTTTACTGTATCGGAAAGCCAAGTATTTATTTGTGACTTTGCAGATCAAGATATTACACACAAATCATCAACAAATGTAATATGATGGATTATTTTTTTTAATAAACTATCCAGCAGTATGTAAAGTTGTCAAACTTAGCTCCACTATGAACACGTTTTTAAATGTAAATTTAACAACATTGTGCAGATGATATTTAATTACTTTTATTTATGTTAACTTTTGCCCAGAGATCAAACTCTGTAAAAGTGAAAGTTAACTGTGGTTGTGATATAATATTTGTAAGTATTATTGTTGGAGAGTTATTATGAAATACACAGTCAGCACCTTTACTTGTCTTATGACTTAGACTCAACTTTATATCTTCCACAAGGTGGCAGAGTACACCACAAGATATTTTTTGGAGCACCAAACAGATTTACAACATGACAGCACCTGAGTTCAAGTCAATATACGGGACACTGTAATATTGTTACAGCTAGTAAGGTCTGTGTGGAGGACTGGGCTTGTTTGTATTGACATCATTTTATTGTTAGAAATATAGTGTTGAGACATTCATTTGTTATTATTCACATATTCAGAGTTTCTTTCCATCTGGAGAATTAAAAGGAAGCAACGCTGGAATTTAAAGAGATATTAAAAGGTTTATTACAACAACTTATCAATTAAAATTTGTATACAGAACTTTCTCATGTTACAGGTACACTTTCAACACAGTACCACATTCCTTTTTTAGCAGTTAGGCCATGGTAAAGAAAACGAACCAAAGCTTTCATGAACTTAGAACTACAACTTGTCTGATGATATTTATCTGAACGAGACATTATCCAAGAAACAGTTAAATTCTCGCAGAGAATTATTACCTCATGCAGATAGCACATAACAGTTAAATAAAAATACATTTTCAAAAAAATCATACTTTAAGAAAACAATGCGTTGGCTTCTCATAGAACTACACAGTAGTAAGCCAGCACAGACTAAGAGAAAAGGCAAATTGACTTCATGGTTTGATTTGCTTCCTACAATTATTTCAATGATGAAATGCTCACAATTCTTACAGGCGGTAGTAGTGTTACTCTAAGATACACGATGTGATCCCAGTTCACATCCGAATGCTTTAACTTCACATGACGAGATATGGAGTCAGGAAGAGGCCTATCCTAATGACTGAAACATTGTTCACAGAGTTCAACAGGGCTCAGCTACTGAAACCAAAGTACATAACACCCAGAAAGATCACATATCACTGATGTTACTTACAAGGTTTTCTAAAAACGTCATTGAGGATTTACAATCGTGAAAACAACATAATGTTCTTCTGCATTAAAGTCATAAACAGTCACTTTTAAAGCAAAGACAGTATACAACAAGATACTTCCTTACTGAGAAACTACGTCTCATGAGACCTTTAATCTGAGAGAACAACTGTCAACTCAAGCTAATCGGCATTAAAAATGTACAGAAGTAATTCATACAAAAACATTAATGGCACTGAATGAAGTCCACATCACAGAGATTGAGTAATGGAAAAGGTACTGCAATCCTACAATCACTGCTTGAGGAACAATCGGACTACAGGTGGAATGTTGATGAAATAACACACGTTTCTAAAAAGCTCACGTCCTTAAGACTAGTGTTACAAGCAGAGGTGAGCTCGAACATTCAAACTACACGATGCGACTACAGCTGATCTCACTCACAGAAAAGTTGTCAAGTCTAAAATCCGATTCGGCCGTTTACATTTGTGTATTTAAATCGACTTCTAAAAAGCTGCCAGTACTTAACATGTGAGCTGTCAAAACTCTTAAAAAGGTAAACCCGTCGTCTCTCAAAATGTGCAAAATGTGAAAAGCAAATGATGAAAAAAGTGACTCCTCTTTATTTAACTTCATCATAAAGATAGTGCTTATTTCAAGTCATGAAAACAAACAAGCAAACTAGTTACAAATGAACAACGATACACTTTGGTGAGGTCTAACAATTCACTGATCAAACCTTATTTTAAATAATAAATAATAATAAATAAATCACACCTAAAGTGCCTGTTCTTTTGTCTTCATCAATTCCAGAGAAAACGTTTGCATTTTCAAAAAAGCAAAATGGACCGAACATAAACAAATTGAAAACAGCAGAGTCCAAACTAAAGATGAGAGAGAATCCCTTTCCTCTGAGGCAACAGCGCTCCAGCGCCGGCGCTCAGGCACAGTTTGGGGACGATCAACTCCCCGAAGGCTGAGACCGGGTCTCCTCTGTGCTCTGGTTGGATGTAGTGGCGGTGCCGCTGGACGAGGCCGAGGCGGCTGAGGTTGCGGAGGAGGAGCTGACCCCGTTCGAGGTGCTGACGGAGCTGTGCTGGATGGCCTCGTTCTGGGGGCTGCCGGGGACAGACATCTCCTCGCAGCTCTCGTCCTTGTCAGAGACTGTGTGGGAAGAGACGAGAAAACACCTGCTGAAAAAGCTGGTATACCATTGTAACGTTTGGATTTTCTTACATATCCGTTTACCTGCAGCATTAACCCAATATGGAAAAAAAGGCTTTGGAAAGCTTTGCCGTGTAGGCCTAATCAGACGTATGTGGTGTACGCAAAACCGTTTCATTAATCCCCATAATGCTACTTCGGCACCCCTTCCTTTAATTAAAGCTCCAATGTCAATTTAAACCCACATCATAAGGGCGCATTACATTCTGGGGCATGTGGCAGTGTTTCCCATCCCTAACTGCATTCTCATTTGTTTTTTGTTACCTTGCCAACTACTGCAGCGACAGATGATTACAGCACCTGATTTTAATGATGCTCACACTGGAGAGTAGGGAAGACTTGGAGTCGAAATGCCACCAGCTGTTAGGCAGTTGCATTGAATTAATTGGATCCTGATGGGAAAAAAAAAGACTCTACTCTCATGCTCTGTTCCGTAAAGGAATAAGGAGCACAGTGATAATTAATATTGTTAATGATATGAAGTCACTTGTTATGGCACTTTGTAATTAATGACTGGGTTTTGCATTTTAGAACGTAAAATACAGATTCCACAGCAAGAAGAAGCAATTAAAGTGCAATACAAACGTCTTCACATTAGAGGCTTCATCTGCCTTCTTGACTGGACGTTGGCCATGTGATTTAGTGCAAGTGAATGTCACAGTGCTATAAACTCCCTTACTGTTTTACTATGCAGAAGGTCAGCCTCCGAATAAATCAGCTTGGTGGTTTTGTTCCATGTTCAAGTGAGCATTATCGCTCCTAACGACATGAAGGGGTGGCTGTCTGATATATCGTAATCCCGGGGCAGCCAGAGCTTCTTTCTGCTCTCTTGGTTTCTGAAGTGGGGTTCGCTTGTAAGCAGATGGACCGCTTTGTGTGCCAAGTGAAAGCATGTCCTGGCTTGTTTGTGGGGCAGTCTGGGCAATTTCCTTCCACCTGCCATGGCTACGCCTGGGCAGGACGATGAAGGGTATTACCAGGCCTGGGGGGCAGTGTAGCCTTACGGGATGTGTAACATTGAGAAAAAAAAGGGGGGCTTGATGAGGCCTTTACACGAGTGTGAGCCACGGATCAGTCAGAATCAAATAATGCGCTTCACTAATTAGCTAAGATCGATTATTTCAGTGATTCCCAAGCAGGGGCACTCGTGCCTCGGGGTGTATTTATGCAATTGCCAGGAGGTACGTGGAAATATCATGGAGAAGCTCAACTAATTAGAAAAAAAAAACATAAATTCTGATTTAATTAAAACAATATTGAATCAGCTGTAACACCTGTACATGTTGCAATTTAAAGTGCATTAAAACTAGTTAGCAAGCAAGCAGCGACATCTGAGCACTTAGCTAAAAGTAATGGACAAATGGCTGGAATAGACGCTTACAGTGGGAGTAATGAATTATAGGTAAATACACCGGATGAATGGTTGAAATAGCTAGAACCTTTGGGTAGTATTAGCTAACTATTTCACTACTTGCAAAGCAGAAGTGAACTGAGCTTAAATATTTAGCTGGAAATAAAGTATAAAAAGTGAGCTCAAAACTGAAACTAATGGATATAAAAGGTCTGTGGAGGTACATCAAACGTATTGTTATATCTTTCTGTTATTCTACCAGAATTTTCATTCTCACATTAAATGGCTTGTCTAAAATCTACCCTCATGAGCCAAACTGATAAACTAGGGTATTTGGATGAAGTTCTATCTTCCCAAACAGGGTAAAAAGTGCTCCAAATGTCATCCTTCACAAAAGCTCCAGAAACATCCTCAGCAAACACATGAGAAAGATGACCCAATTCATCCACAGATCTTTCTAAAAAAGAAACCAGACGACACCAAATGAGACCCGGCTCTGACAGCCCACTCTAGCCTGGAAACCAGCAGTCCCATAATGCGCATGACGTGTGTCAGTGGGATGGTTAGCAATAAGGGGATGCATAATGAACAGCCTAGCTTGGTGGACACCCCGCCATGAGAATGCTCTGCAGTCTTGTCAAGCTTGCTGCTTTAATGGACTCATTTCAGAGGCAATCATTGTCAATACAAGTCAGCGGAGACGCTCGGAGCGCAGTGGAGAAGTGGCTTGGAGCGCCACTTGTTCTCGTTGCATTCTGGCTCATCTGTGAGGGAAGCTGAGTTATGACCGGGAAAATCTGAATGACAAGAGCCCCCCGGTCGCGGGAAACGAAGAAATATCGGTGATATAATTCTAAATGAGACCACGTGATGAACAAGGACTGGAGCATGGAGACGACGGTGTGCAGGCTGACAACAGGAAGTGTGAATGAAGAGGCTGCAAACGGCAGAATCTTCTTGTGTATTAAAAATGTTCATGATCGTTGTGTGGTTTAGGTGTTACAAAAAGAGAGGGATCATGCTTACTTATCCACTTCTTTACAATCCAAGCATTTGGTTTCTCAACATCCTTCCTGCAGACATCTAGTTTCATCTGACAAATGTTTATTTAGGTGTCAACTGAGGAGGAAACAATTGGTTTCCCGTGGATACCACCTGTGTCCTCTTGAAAAGACTCGGACACTGACGCCAGGGAGCATTTGTCTGGAACTACACCGCCTATAAAATGTCTTAACTTTTGAAAAGTTTTTTTGTTTAAATGGGATCCAATATGTCAGTAGCCTTTTCTGTTTGGCCATAAGTAAGACATGACATTCCAGTGGTTAGCTGGAGCTCATTTTAGAAGCCTTTCACTGGAAGCCTCGGGCTGAGAATAATGGAGCATTACTCACTGTGATAGCCAGATTTCTTCTGCATGGCGGTTACAGGGCAATCTTTATGAGCCAGAAGAAGCTGCTTCAGCTGAGCCACTTCGTTTCTCAGCAGGGAGACTTCACTCTTTGAGAGAGAGAGAGAGGAGACACACACAACAGCCCTCAATAAAACCCTCTGTCTGGAGCACCCAGTACATTAGATTACAGTTCAAAGACAAACAGACGACATCTGCGTATACTTTAAATGTGTGAAATGATTTTCCAAAACCAGATAAAAGGTCAGATTTGTTGATTTTGATTTGGTCAATACTGACACTGATAGACTTTTGAGAGTTACAAAAGTCGATTTAACATCCATTAGTATTTTATTTACATAAACATATACAACACAAACATTTGGACCAAGATACACACTGAGCGACGCATTTTACAGTTAGAAAATAAACATGTCAGTGCTCTCTGGTGAACAAACTATGCAACGATAACACTGTTTCTACGTTATCTCAAACATGACTTTAACATTTCAGTACTCTTCTCGTTAGCTTTGGGCCAACATGTAAACAGGTACGGATATATCTGCCAAAAAGAAAACATCTGCAAATGTGTCGGCCACCTGACTTATCGGTCTAACGCCGCTCTGAACCCAGCACCTGATGCTCAGTACGGTATACAAACCAATCCGCAGCTTGAATGCGGCTTTGTGCCCTCTCTACATGGATGGCCGTACCTCTTATCCACCGTTGGTGATTTTAAAGTCAGTTATTATTAATCGGATCACAGGGTTAAATACTTGTGACCTCTTTTGTACAGTAGGCCTAAATGACCACTACATCACGGCAGATAAACGCCAAAATAAACAGCACACACGGAAAGGTAACAGCGTAATGAATGAACTCAGAATAAAGTACGACGCGCTTCTTCATTCATTTATTTTCTGCACAATAATTAGAGGCCTTCACTGGCTTCCGACCAGCACATTTGTCAGAGGTGAGCTGTTCGGATTCCCCCTGCAACTTTGCAGATGCCGCTGAGATTTACACTCTTGTGTCGTTACACAGCTCCCGAGGGAGCGGAGGATTTCTGCATGTCGTAAAATAGGGCCACATTACGCTGAAGGTGACTTTAACTGAATTTAGAGCGGCCAGGGGCCCGCAGAACACCCAATGGCAGATTTAAGCTCCTTCTCTTTTCCTTTAAAAGGAATATGGGCGGCTTAATCTATTAGTTTAAAAGCAGCCAATTTATTTGATTCCATCTGTTTAGTGTTGGCAGGGCTGCGCTATTGTAAGACAGATTTAAAACACAGCTGGAAGACGCGTATGCATCACATGTAGCTAAAGCCATATTTACTGGGTTTTCAACATGACTGCTGCCATTTACAGCCAATATAAACGCCTTCCTTTGAATCTCTCCCTCAACTCTGACATGGGAAGCACATGTCCGAAATGTTAACATGCATTACGAAATGCTGATTCATTAGTCGGATGCAAAAGCAACCAAACTCATTTTACAGCTTAGCAGCGAAAGCACCGTGTTTGGTTGAACCATTTATGCTCCGGCCACAGTGACCTTACATCGCATCATACCTGGAAGTTTAAACTGGACTTTTTGAGAGTTAAACTTGTTTCTAACTTTGTGAATTAATCAAAATTGAGCAAACGGGCTTCGGGTGAAGCTGTGAGCCCTGTGAGCTGCCTGCTCTGACATCTCGTTAAAAAGCCAGTTAATGATGATGTTAAAATAATTGTGCATCATTAGAGGCAGTTTCACTGATCAGCTGGGCCATGTCAGCAAGTTTTTTTTTGTGTTTTTTTTTCCAAAAACTGCACTGCTGATTAATATAAAGCACCCTTTTATCTTCTGCCACATGTTGTTCCCTTCTTTGTAGTTAACTGCAATGTCCTGTTTATTACCTCATATACTCACCTATTCATCTAACTATATTCAAATACAATCTCTCAAAGCACACTCATGACAAGTGTTTCTGAACCAGATATTAACGACGTGAACCTAATTCTTTACGTTGCCGTCTTTCCCCTCCTCCACCTTCCACATCTTACTCCGCTTTCATCGGAAAATAAGACAGTGAGCAAATAAACACCACATCTCATTTAATTGTCTGGAACACCGATGTGCCGCACCCCCGGCTCACACTTATCAACAGAGACAGCAGATACATGAACTGTTTCGAACTTGTCAGCATCAGATCCTAATTGCTTCCAGCAAAATGAAGGTTCAAAAAGACACCTTTCCCTAGGAGATTTTTGAGGCCATTCGGTAAACTGCTGAGACAGAAGCGAAGACACGCTTGTGCGCGGCTGACATCTGGAGGATACATCTTTATTGACAGGGACATATCGATGTAAAGGGCTCACACGCTGCCGCTGTCACACGGCAGCTCTTCTTAATCGGCTTTAATGACTTCATCACCACAGAAGGGAAAAGTCTGTGTACACGCGCTTACAACAACAACACATGGTGATAAACAGACATATGTGTGCATACGCACATACACGAACTGACACATCGATGCATAAGAGTACAAAACAAAGACAGATAAGGTAGCTGTTGTTACATGCAGTAGCTGGGGGGGGGGGGGGGGTAAAGAGCACCTGTAGTTGTCCGTTCATAGAGTTGAGATCATCAGCCTTCCTCTCCAGAGACGAGACCCACACTTTCCTCTTCTGCCTACAGCGAGAGGCTGCAGCCCTGTTACGCTCCAGAAACTTGCGCCGCTTCTCATCGGGGTTTTCACTTGTGGTTCTGCGCCGGCGACCCCCGGTGCTTGGGGGGTTTGGCGCAGGGGGCGCTGGAGAAGCCTGAACAATAATAATAATAATAATAATAATAAACAATAACTGGCAAAACAACAGCACCACCACATGTGTAATGTGCTGCTGACATCATTGTCCAGCACTGAATTTTGCATACTGAGTAACTGAAATGTGGTTACTACTTGTGAAATACTGGTTACTGTCGCTAATCACATTATGTGCTCAGTTTTGTCATTTCAGAAAGTAATACATTTGACATCTTAGTTTACACAAAAAAAGGTAATCCTGAGTAAACACCTGCCATGTGATGCTGTTGTGTTTATGAAATCTTTTATTAGTGGGCGGGAATGATTGTCAGAGTTTGCTGAAAGCTAACAGCGAGAAAGCTAACTAGTACAATGAAGTATCCCTCACACCTTCAGGCTCGGTAGTGTTTGAACATTTCGGATTCTACTGTTGATACAATACTTTTTTGGTTCAAACAGCAAAAACGTACCTTTACAGAGAATACCTTTTTTTATTTAATTTCAATAAAGGTCTCAAAATGTCATCTGAAAACAAGCTGCCATACAAGAAATGCGCCTAAATAAATAGGCTTAAACTTGAACAACTTGTTTGAATCACTATCTGATAAAAAAACAAAAAACTGTATGTCGGTACTTGACATTACAGGTACACTTCAGTCAATGCCCTACTGTACACCTGCAGTAGTCGTGCATGTAAGCATACCCACAGATTACAGACACAAACAAAGACGTCTCTATAGAACTATGCTGAAACACTCGTACTGCAGCAGTGGATACTTACAGGTGTCTCTGTGGTGGAGGTGGCTGGCTGCTGAAGGGAATGGGGGGAAGGCTCCTCAGTCGTGGGCAGGTGAGGAGGAGTTAGGACCGCGATGGGGGCTGGAGTCGGGGCTCGGGTCGGAGCAGGAGAAGTGGGAGCAGCGGTGTGGGTCACGGCGCTGCTCTGGACTTCAACAGCATTTCTGTTGGTTACCTGAGGAAGCTGCTGGCTTAACGTGATTTTCAGTTTCTGGGAAGAGAATTCAGCATGAGGAAAACAGTCATGACATGTTCATGCAAAGACATGGTTGTTACAAGAGGAGAACTATATTCAGATGTTAACACGGTAAAAATGAGACAGTTTTATACAGAGTATCAGTGTATTTTCACTGACTATGATTTACACCTGGAATACCTTCCTATTGACCTATTGTAGTATGAGAGTGAACAGACGAACATACTGGGTTACCAGCAGTCAGCAGAGAAGAAGAAGAGAGGCATAACTGCTGACATGATTAATACGGATGGTTACTAGAGCATGGGAAATATCCTACTTCTACAAGTACTGTATCCCCTACCCACGAATTAAGATTATGAAATATGATGCTGAAAAATGAAAAAAAATCGAATAAGTAAGAAGAATTGAAAGAAATCCTGAAATAGTAAAGAAACTGGAACACATTTTAAAAACTATCTGATGAAGCATGGAACACACTCCTCACATGTATTTAGCATGTTTAGGGCATGATGTTATCTGAACACCAAAGGCACATAATGTGACTCAAACTATTAAAAAACTTTTTTTTTTTGAACATTGGCTGGGACCGCAAATGCCACACATAACACAGCCCATTCACAGAAACTACATCTCCACAGACAGTGTTCACGATTCACAGGCCAGCTCCTCGAGTATCAAACAAGGTGAAAGTGAATGAGCCTTTCGAAGCGATAACAAAGTGAGAGGGAATACATTTACATGAGAAAACAGAGGACCGCATTATTGTAACAACTACCTTTGCCAGACCAATCTATCTACCAAATTAGTTTATCGTGTAATACCCTTCCAGAAGCTCTTCTGGCAGAAACAGGATATTATTCTCTTGGAATGGCCCATAGAAAGAGAGGAACGCCAGTCAGATTCATATTTCATCTCTGCCACGGAAACCTCATCAGTGTAATAACCCTCCATCTCATGGGTGTTATTCAACCATCTGCTACTATATTACTTATCTTTATTTTGCAACTAATTAACAGCATAATCTTCTAAATTCAGCAAGTTAATTATCATTATTGTGGTCTTTGCAGCATCATCAGTCCTTGTAAAGTGCCGTCTCTGCGCCCCCTGAGAGAATGGTGGGGGCGGGGAGCAGGCAGGTTGAGCTGGGGTCTGTTTTCTTGACGCGTGCTCATTAGGTGTTTGCTGATGAGCTGAGTGCAGTGGGAGGTGCCGGAGTGAGAAGATGGGGGGGCGGGGGGGGGGGGGGGGGGGGGGGGG